CCCGAGGGCCCTCGAAACCGCAAAATCGCAAAACCGGCGGCCAGATAGAGTCCTTGTAAAAAGGAAGACTCGATCTGGCCGCCGATTTTGCAATTTTGCAATGTTTTTTCAAAATTTTCAAAATTTCCAAAATTTGTAAAATTTTCAATTTTTTCAATTTTTCAATTTTTTTTATTTTGCGATTTTGGGGGCCTAGTGTGAGTGTCCTCTCAGACTGGTTTTCTGATCAGGAAACTTCCTGGTCTTGGATCCATCCCCCCATGCACGGAACCTAAAGCCTAGCTCTACTTTATAAACGAATTTGAACAGCCGAAACACAACAATGAAAACTGAAATATGTGCCCCACCATTTGTCCCTACTACCATAGTGCATCTGGCCTGGATCTAAGGGGAGGGGAGGGACACCTGGGTTTGAACCCCTGCATTGTCAACAGCTAAACTATTGCTTCTGTACTCGTACGGGGCCTGGAATCCCCCTCCTCCTCCTCCTCCTCATCATCATCATCATCATCATCATCCCCTTCTGCTGCAGTACCCACATTGTCAGCGTCAGCAGTTCGACAATACCATAGTCTCCCGCGCCTCGAATCCCTCCCCCCGCCATGTGTATGTCTGTTTGTATGGCCCTTGAGGCTTGCACTCTAATTAAATTATATTAAAAATAACGTGAATGGAGTTAAAATGTAAACATGAAAATCGAGTTCAAACTTAAAAATTGTTAAGTAGAGCTCCGTAATTACCAATTATTAAGAAAAAAAGTAACTTGAGCTGTGTTAAAAAAACTGAAAACTTAAAAAAAAAAAAAAAAGCGAAATCTGAGTATCCGAGTTCCAGAATTACCAATTATTATTAATTATATGGAGTTACATTACCTGGATTAATCCTTGACTAGTATTTGGCTTGACATAAAATAATGAGAATTTTTTGCTGTGAAAATTTCCCCCTTCTTTCTTTCTTTCCCTCGGCAATTTGCATGATCAAAATCTAAAAAAATAATATAATAATAATAATAATAATAAAATCTTATTGGCAACTTCTTTGCACTGCTTTGCAATGCCAGCAGGTTTATGGAAGCCACGGTGTAGACGACTTGCTGGTTAGATTTTGGACCAGGTGCAGGTTCAATAACCAGGGTAAGACGGCTGCTGTACCAGAGGTTCAGTTTTGGACCAGGTTCAGGTGCAGCAAAAAACAGTGCAAAGGCAGTTGCACCGCTCACCCCCAGGAACGGGCCCAGGGTTGGGTTTCCAATGCAGCGGACAGGCTAAACCTCCTTTGTGACAAAAAAAAAAAAAAAAAAAAAAAAAAAAGCGCGGGAGCGCCAGCGTGTGGCATAGGGTGAAGGCACACAGACAAGATGGGTGACAGTGGCGACAAAGTAGGACAGTATTATTCAGCCAAAGACTGTTCAGTTCCAAAAAGTACCAAAAAGGTAAAGCGTCGAATGAAAGTATTCCTTTTTTTTGTTTATTTGTTTTATATTTATAATTTTATAGGTAAAGCATATTCCTGTACGGTCCAGCCTCTGCTCCCTTTTTTTTTTTTTTTTTTTTTTTTTTCAGGTGCCATTCTGTTTGTGGTGGGCATTATTAGTCCGTGTTCTCTTTTTTTTCTTTTTTTCTACCGTCAAGTCTCATAAATGTCTGAAATTAGTAACATCATTTTCCCTACACTTAGAGAAATTGCTAATTTTGAGGTTGGGGCGTCCGGGCCATCCGCGGTCCTACCGGCCGGACAGTTCGGACCGTGGCACAATCTTAAAGTCTTAAGATCGCATGACGGTCCGATCCGTTGGGCCGGGCAACGGCCTGGATCAACGTGCCCGTTGGGAAGAGGGCCTGTACGGGCCTGTAGGTAGTGAAAAAAGCCGCTGGGCCCTACGCCCGGTGCCTGTTGGGCATCGGCCCATTGCAGTGGCAGTTGAGACGGGGCCCTCGCCGGACTGGAGTGGAGTCCAACGGCCAGCCGGTTGAGTTGAGGGCCTGGCCGTACTTGATAAGGGACCCGCCGACTAACACCCCTACGGGACGCGCTACGTCGTACTGAAGCCGAGAAACACGAACAGACTCCTATACGTGCCGCATCGTACCGCTAACGGCTGTTGCTCATGGTCGACGGCGAACAGCATGACGTGAAAGGCTCTGGATGCAGTGGGGAGGGAGAGGAGGGTGCGTGGGAGTCACGGCCAGGGAAAAGGAAGATGGGTGTGGCAGTTGTTGGTATCCGAGATCGGGGCGAAGGATGACACATACAGCTGTGAAAGGAGGATGGGTGCACCAATTGAGGGAAGGGAGTGGGTAAATAAGAGGGGGAGGAGGCGCATATGAATGGATTGTGGGGAGAAGGGGAATGACGAGGGGCGGGCAAGAATTGGGGAAAGGAGGGGGGAGAAAGGCAGCAGAAGGCCAGTAGGACACTGGGGGGATCAAAGAATTTGACGAGGGTAAGTGCGACAGTGCAGGTGGAGTTGGAGCAAGGGGAGGAGGAGGAGGAGCATGGCACAACATCACGGAAGAGAAGGGAGAGTCAGGGAGTAAGGATAGTACAGTGGCAGAGGAGGGGAAGAACAGGAGGAAGGTCCATGTCAGGGATGGGTCCACGTGGCACACTTTTTTTCTTCCTCTCCGTTTTTTGATTTATTGTGTTGTTGGTGTGTGTGTGTGTGTGTGTGCGCGTGTGTGTGTGTGCGTGTGTGTGTGTGTGTGTGTG